CTTTCCATTGAAACATTACTTCAGTTTTTCGTGAATCAGAGATTCTTTACCATTTTGAATGAAAGTATATGTAAATGCTTTTGGAAAGAGTTATTCTGCATCTGGAGTTTCACGAATGACATCTAAAGAGGAATTCAGTACAAAATGAGCGGAAGGTTGATAGGATAGAACTACATTTCAGACTGTGCTGACGGAAAGCAGTAGTTACGGTACAGAAGGAAAAGTCCTACTCATGCACAAGCTGTTAGATGGAGTTAATTGGATCCTGATGCCAGCAGGTAACAAGTCGACCTCCCTATCGTCCACGCAGTTATTTCTCTTCAGGCGAGCTCAGTGATAAAACATCGAAGTAATTTTTCGAAGTATCGATAAAAGAATAATGAGCGTTAGTGCGTTTGTTTGACGCCGGAGAGTACGCAGTCCTGAAATTCATCGACGGACGGCAAGGGTACATGGAGAACTCTGCATGTCCCATCGCAAAAGTAAATGAGTGATGTGAGCACCTTAGACTAAGACGATCATTGGTTGGTAAACAACAATTGATGTGCCATAGTAGTTTCAAAATTGAATGAGCTTCTTTTGTAAGAACGACGTGTAACAATACAGAAAACTACTGACGTTGTCCAGTTGAGAATTGCAATTGTTTATGCATTTTTTCCGAACCACTTGAAGTTCTATAAACTGCCATAGAGGATGCCTGAGATCTTGACTGAAGACCAAGAAGCATGTCGTTTGGCTATGCTTCTGCAGTCTTTTCAGCAGTATGTCCCAGAAAGGCACCACTGATAAGCATCGGCTACAAAACATGATGTTATTATTCTGAGCAGCAATCATAGTGCTAATCTCTCAAATGGAAACGGTATGGCTCCTTCCCTTCCTAAAATTGCAAGACAGATCCGACTTGTGCAAGGAGTAGGATGCTGAGGTTCTTTTTTAATAGGGAAGGACTGTTCCTTGACAAATTCATGAAACGAAGAACTATGATGAATGCGCAGTGTTATGAAAATTTCTGAACTCACAGCGAAGATCGATCAGAAAGACCTGGAAAACGTTTTAACGGCATTCTTCACCTTGATAAAACTAGACAGTGGAAATGTAAAGATTTCGTGGGGCAGTAAATTTGAGAAGTACTCAACCATCTCTCTAAAGTGAGGATCTTTCACGGGTAATTTCGCTGACTATAGTGAGCTAAAGAACTGTACGCCGACAACAGTTCCAGTTATAAGATAACGCAGAGAGCTTGAAAAATTTCTACCAACTTAATCACTTTTAAGAGAAAACTGTTGTGTACTTGGCGTTCCATTTAGATAAACTATATAAATACTAACGATAAGTAATATTAATTCAGGTCTTATGTTCAAGTTTTTAACTTCGTTCTTATTGAATGTACCTAATACTTTGTGTGATGCATCTATCAGTTAGTGCATGTTCTTTTAAGCAATGCTTCCCAACTCATTTCAACACGCGAGTTTTGTTAAAGCTTTACCAGACACTTTCCTGGCCTTCCCGCTCCCCAGGAATGTATCCTATAGAGCACATTTAACACGTTCCCTGCCGCGTGGGGCGTATGCTCCCCACGCTAATCTTTCCGTTCAAGCCATTTGGTATTATCATTATAAAATGAAGAATTTTTTAAAAATTCATTATGCAGTCAATTATGGGCATCTTAATACTACTGCTGATGCCCTCATTTAAAACTGATATACGTACGATAAAAAAAATTATATGTGAGGATGCAACTTGCTTGGCATAGTAATGTTCAGCCAGGTATTTGTTAAACTAATTCCTAGGAAAATAAATTTATTGGTTTCTGTGTTATGCATGCTAAACTATACAACCTTTCCTTGATAATTATGATTTTTGCGCTATTTTAATTATTGTAAGGCATACGCCAGAAACAAAATAATACAAATGTAAAGCGGGGGGCGCATACGCCCCAGGCGGCCTGAAGGGGAAGTCTTCAAAAAACGGTCTGGCAGGGAACGTGTTAAGACTGTTTGAAATGCCAGCGGCCACTGTACCGCACCATACTGTTTCACTTTCTTCCAGTAACATCTTCATTCGAAGTATCGAATCTAGGAGTTCAAAACACATTCTAATTCGATGTTTGGTTTTAATCGAAATGACTCTTGAAGATACTTTTTGTACAGTTGCATTGCTTTTTGGCAAACGTTAATGATTAAACAAAGCAATCAGTCAAACACGGGAAAACCCCCAGAGACTGGCCTAAAAACTGTTTGCAGCTACTCTATGATCTGAGGACTTTCAGATGCCAACTTCTATTTAAGCTTAAATGTATTCTTTGTTTATTTATTTATTAAAAAATAATTTTAGTAAATGCAATATTTTAACATATATTTAGTCGCACAGATTTCTCAAAATTAAAAAAATTGCGTAAAATCGCATGATGTGGCAACGCTGTACGGCATTCAGTGTCACTAACTGCTATCCCATCCGAGCGGGCATTAATGATGATAAGACTGCATACCAATAAATCTTACGTAATTATCACGCTGCTTTTGTTTTGCGATCAAATGTATCATTCATTTCTCTATCATTTACGCCAATAAAATTTCACTTCAGTCCGATACTTCTTACCTTGCGCATTAATTTCAATGACCATGAGTGTGTCTACAGTACAAAAAAGGTCAAGTTTACTTATCGAAATGCGGCGAGTTCCGTTTTCGTGTAGCGATGTATATTTCTCAATCTCGTACGGGAAATGATGGTTTACGCCAAAATGCTTTTATCTTCCACTCAAGAGTCTCTTGTACCACCTCAACGTGTCTTTTCCGTAAACATATTCTATAATGAAATCTGCTTGTTCCAGTCCTTTCTATCTGCCCTTATATCATTTATGCCATATATATAAATTTAATTATTTCATTTAATTTAATTATTAATTTTAATTTACGATTATCCCATAGGAAATTAATAGCAAAACATATTGTATATTGAAACTTATTAAAAGTTTATTTTTTAGAATATTGAGATAACGCTATGGGAAAATAGTACTTAGTTGAAGTTTTAATTTGTAATGGAATTCATATTTAAACACTTAAAAAACGAATTAATATATATCAAAAGAAATTTAATTATTGCTGATCTGCTGGAAGAAGACTGATTTTTTAAGGGGAATTAGTCTTGTTCCATAAGATCCACAATGGTTTAGGGATGACGGCATTTCATATCCCTCATCTATTTGAATGAAATTCTTTACAGATTCGAAAAGTTAAGAAATAAATTTCGCACGCAATCACGACGCAATCTTATACACATATTTACAAAATTTTTTAACCTTATGATTAGTAAACGTAAAAAAGAAAATTAAAAAATATGTGTGTAATACAGAAAAATTAAAAGCATTTAAAATATAATTTAAAATGTCGTGTGTCACATTAGTAATGCATGACTAAATATATATATATATGTATAGTTTTAACATACAGTTTGAACTTTTTCTTCGCGTGTGAGTTTCTATTGTCTTAATTGGAAAAGGCGGCTCGTTAGAAACAACGATCAAAAGACGCTTAGGGTTGCAATAAGAGAAGTGGGAGAGAGTGTTTTTAACTGTTAACGCTATATGTAGATTTGAAATGGCGATAAATTCAAAATGGTACGGGCGAGTGTGGACAGATGAGAGTTATTATCTTCCTTTTAGCAAGATTTGGAAATATTCATTCTTCTTTAAAATTAACCAGTTATTCCGCTATAATCTTGTCGTTCTCAGTAGCACCAAGTACTTGTGTTTCAAATTCTAAGGTCTTCTAGATTATAGTTGCTCTTTAAGCTATTACTAAATTAAAAATTAATTATTAAATTTAAATAAATAGTCTTAGCAGTGATAGCGCTAGATTTCTGCCTTTAAAGTCCATATTTTTTACTTATTTACTTTATGAACATACATATACATTTACTTTATGTTTATCATATTTGCAGATACCTGTAGTAATTCCTGTAGTACTCATATATCAAATTTTACCACAAATCCTTAGACGTAAATCAGCCCTTGCATTGTTGTTCTTTGAATTTAAAACTTTTTTAGATCCAATTCTTCATCCGTAATCTTGTTGTTCTCAGTAGCATCCAACAGGTACTTGTGTTTCAAATTCCGAGTTCTTCCTGATCGTAGCTGCTCTAAGCTACTACTCATCGTTACGTAAGCTGCGAAACCTGTATTGATAGATCCGCTGTGATACAGATATACTATCGCATATCTATCGACGTTTTTCTTCCCACTGCACCCAAAATCGTATTTTCATATAAAAGACAAAGTCTAGTATGCTCCTCTTGGACCTTCATTTTTTCTTTCTTGCTTATCACTTAAAACTAATGGGCAACACCCATACCAATGTCTGTTATTAAATTTCACACGGGACAATCTCATACTGTCATGTTACCACCTAATGAACCCAGAAAAGATCAAGTTTCTAATGTTTAAAACGTTACCATAATTAAAACAGTAAATACTTTTGGGTATATACCAGTATTTGAATTTTATTTATTTGGTAATATAATTTTGTATCGTATATATTTATATTCGATTTTTTAAGTTTATTATTATGATCTGATTTGTCACTCCAAATAAATTATTTCAGTTTCATTTAACCGTTTTCAAGAAATCAGTACTTTTGCATACATAAAGGTAATTTTGAATTAGCGGTGTATATTATGCAAGTGATACTTACTGATTTGTGATTTTGAAAATAGAATTGTTGAGTTATGAAGCGAGTTTCCTTTTGAAAGGGAGATGTAATTTATATTTTCAGGTGATACTCTGCTGCAAGACAATTTATAATGAATATACTTCTTCCTCCCTCCCGGCTATGATCGTTCAAATTTCTGTACTATTGCTAAGTATCGTAAAATATTGTATTTGAGATATCTGCATTTGAATAATAACCAGATTTATATTTTGAAACACAATTGTAATTTATTTGAAATAGAAAGTTTCAGGTGTACAGAATGAATATTTTAGGAAAAATAATTTGCATAAAGAATTTTTTTTTTAATTTAATTTATTCAAGCAATATATAGACTTTCAAAAACGGGGGAGAAAATCTTTTCTTAAAACAAGCATGAAATTAAACAAGGATTTACACACAAATCAATTTCCTTGGACGTTATTGTAAGTATTTGTACACTTTGAAACAGTGGTTACCGGAGTCTGAGACAACCACATGTCCGTCTGCTGTTAAAGCAAGTCCTTGAGGGCCATATAAAGGATCTCCGAAAGTATTTATGAAAGACAAAAATGAACCATTCATGTCAAAGACCTAAAAAGAGAGACAAATATTTCAGGGGTACCTTAAGTAGTTTCAGTAAATAATCCATAAGAAAATAAAAATTCTTATTTAATTTTTTGCCTTTGTTCAAACTAAAGTAAACATTTTTTATTTTATAACACTGAAACTATTGTTCACATTCTACGTTTGATTTTTAAATGTCTACAATAAAATTATTGTTGAAATGTTTCTGTCTCTAAAGTTTCATAACTGAATTATTAGGTCTATTTAATAATTTATAGCTCATTGTAAGCATGAGTTATAGCTAGAAATGTTGTATTATGGAATTTTGAAAAGAAAAATATATATATAGTATCTCATTTTTAAATTATTTTATAGTTAGAATTATCTATGTTTCGGGATGAGAAACTACAAAATGATTTTCACTTTTTTATTAAGACTTTTATGATTACAGCGCTCTCTCTCTTTTAAATATAAATGAACAAGTTTAACTCAGATTCTTTGATAACATCTAATTCAAAGGATTCGACCGTTTGGAACAAGTCGTTACAGGCAATTTCTTCCTTAAATATTAATACTTGGCATGTATTTCTGATGACCAAGTTTCTCAAAATAATATATTTCTGATGACGAAATTTCTCAAAACAGAGAATTTTTATGCAGACAGTTTCACCAACGGGGTTGGGAGTGTTTTGAAATACAAAATCTAAATTTTTATATGGTGCCTATCTAATAAGGCGTTGGTTCAATAAACTTTTCATTATGTCATGAGTTAGTAAAATGTTCCTCAGCTAGTAAAATATTCATTAGTTAGTAAAGAGTTCATTATATAACATGTTTATTCTATGCTACGTTTTTATTATTATAAGTGAAATACAAAAACATTTCCGTATCCTTACGAATCTTTGGGAATATTCGAGAGCGAACGAACTGATTCACTGAGATAATTTCTCAGTGCCTGTTATAGTAGACAGCCGACGTTATTCAGTCATAATTAGAGAGCAAGTATGAAACATTATTTTACGATTTGTATATAGTGTTTCTGTATTGGAAAACAAGTCATTATTAATTTTCTAAGTCGCTCCATGGATAATTACAAATATCTCTGAATTTTGCAGAGATGCGGAAATTCTTGTATTAGACATACTGTTGCATGCTCACAGTTCGTAATAGACTGAATGCACACAGAACCTATGATAGCTTGATAAAATTTATTTTACCGAAAGAAACACTTTACAATTCTGGAAATTTCCAAAAAAAAAAAAAAAAAAAAAAAAAAAAAAAAAATACTCGTGCAGCTCTTCACAATATCAGAGAGCACAATCAGTAGTTACATTTCAAACTACTAAGAATGTTAAACAAAACACAATGCAAAGCCCATCTAAAGAGAAGCTCACACGGAGATACCTCAATACTTCAAACTAACGCTAAACTGCTCAGAAACTAACTGAGGGAGAAAAGTAACGCTAAACTGCTCAAAAATTGATGCTCTTCTCGGTTTTATATAGTTTTCTACGGCTGCCGAGAAATCTCTACTACTTCTCGAAATTACTGGAAGATATATGAGGACCGGATACGCTTACAGCTACATATGGCATCAGTTCCAGCTATTCAGTTACAATACCCATTGCGGTATTACAGGGACCGGACAAAACTGTCGCCAGATGGTCGGTAAGTTTGGTGACTTTTAGCGATTTTTCGCCGAATTAGTAGGCAGTTTAGCGAGACAGCCATTTACTCAATTGTTAAATAGACTTGCCCCTTTATTCTTATTTTTCCGGTCAGGCTTCGTTTCTTTAGATTTTCGTGTTGCATTATTCAGAAAACTACAACATTTGCGTATTGAATTTTACTAAAATTATTTATGTATATACAAAATTCGTAACAATTCGTAAAATTTATCCATTAATTACTAATATCTCTGAGATGTATAACTTCTTGTATTAAACTTACTGAATGGTATGCTAAACTCTCATAACATCTTGTATTAAACATATTGAACGGCATGCTAAACATAATGAATGGTATACTAACCAGCATTTTTGCTTTGCGGAGATTCATATCAAAAGTTAGAATTTGTGTCTACAGAACACTCTTGTCTCAATGATTTATTTATCAAATGCCTGGCCATTGACCATCAGATCATTAAGCAACGAACTCTCCAATACTCCTATACAATACGGTCCAAACTCTTAAGTGCAGAACACACGCCCAGATAAGCAGCGTCCATGACTTGTCCAGAATCACACAAAGCACATAAAGGTGAGGCAGTCAGATTAAAACGAAACAAATGAGCACCAAGTTGTCTCAATGATGAAATTATTTCACAAAATTCTCCATCTCATTTTAGAAAACTTTGTAATTGGGCATACATGGCTTGAGACCAGTACCTGAGGGAATAAAATTTGTAGCGAATTTTTAGGATTATCTTAAGGCTTTTTCAAAATCATTGTAAATCTTCAGAAGCCAGACTATTGCGTAGAGACACACGTAAAGCGTAAGAGACAATATGCTGTTTGTAATGAAATTAATTTAAAAATATTTAATTTATTTCGTCACAGTGTGATACGTGTGATGCATTCTTTAGAATACGGCTTTTATTTAAGCATTACTTATTAAAATAACGATTATCAACTTGCTTCATTTAAGTAATACCATCCCACATGCTTATTTACTTCTTCTTTACAATTTTGGTCTCCTCTTCATAATTCAGTTACTTGCTTCATTCAAGTAATATCGGCCCACGTGTTTATTTATTTCTTCTTTACCGTTTTGGTCTTCTCCTTATTATAATTCAGTTAACTTTTATAAAATTTTTACAACTGCTTTTAATTGTTTCCACTTTCAGTTTTGTTTTGATACCTTTTAATTCATTTGCATATTTATTATTTTCTGTTTGATCTGTGAGGGAGAAAAGTATCATGACTATTTACCATTTGCTTTTTTTATTAATTATAACTAAATTACCCTCTTTTGTGGTAAGTCAGTTGCTGTTGGAATCAGATCGCATTTATAAGTATTAAACTATATAATTCATCTGTGCCTCACAGATGAAATGATAAGTTCTTCGAAATTCTACTTTTCCGCAATTTAAAAAAAATTAATATTTTATTGCAAAGGAATAAATGAGTACCTCCATAAAATAATTTGATGTCTTTATATAAACTGAAATGAAAAATAAGCTTTTGGAAGCAAAGTATTACTTTCACAAAGTTTATGCCGATATAACGCTGTAAATGCTGACAATGTTTTGAATAGATTCAAACATAAAGAAAGTTCTTGAAAACAATTATATATATATATAAAGTTGTATAAATCAAAATATGAATATTTAGAAGCAAAATTTTATTTACTTTGCTTTCTTGGAAAGGAAAAAATTGCTCATTATTAGTCTCAGTCGAAGGCCAATCTTACATCGAAATACAGAAATGCTTATAAATTTTAATATTAGTATTGCTCAAAAAATAAGTCCAAATTTTTAAGGTCTAATCTTTTAATATTTATAAAGAGTTCAGACAAAAAAATCTATTATATGAGAAGACTTTTATTGTCATCGTGTTATCATTATTTACTGATTGTTATTTCTCATTTTCATTCTTATTTTAATGTAATTTGACCTTTGTTCTTTCCTATTCTAATCTCGCAATACTTTTAATATATTTAACATTATGTTTGGATGCATTTTTTTATTGTTTTATTTAGAAACATAGCAGAATTTTAATCATTTTAGTAAATTAAAATATTGGCATTGTCTTTTACTTGAATTCTGCAGTTTCCCCAATCTGCTACTATAATATTATCTTGGGAGTCAATGGCCACTCCTGTGGGTGCATTAAATTGTCCATTGCCTTCACCATTCGATCCGAATGATGACAAGAAACTTCCTTCCGCGTCAAAAATCTAAATGAGAACAGAAAGCAACTGTTATGAGAACTACAAGTAATAAATAAATCATATTATACACTGAATATTAAGAGTATTGTTCTGCTACTGTAAGTGCTGTAACAACAAGCTCATTAAATATTTCATAAACTAAATTATCAAAAATGGAGGAAATGGATCATGTTGTGGAATATGAGTTTTACAGCTTATAACTTTCGGATGTATCAGCTATCCTTTATTGACAGCAAGAGAACAAAGTGCCCTTGCCTCCATCCCCCCTCCCCTCCAATAAAAAAGCGGAAAATCAGACGCAATGTGAAATCTAAACTGATGAGCTGATGAGCTCTCCAGAAATTTGTTTCATAAAAATAAGCAATCAAAGCGGACTGTCACCTTAGCTCGCTGAAGCACCTATGTGATCGTAGCAGGCTGCATGGCATCCGCGGAGCGAGCCGAAGCTCTCAAATTTGAAAGAGCTGCATTACTTGAATTCGCCATCGAAGAGATCTTTGTCACGACGGAAAGTATTCCAATCTAATGTCATAGACCCAGACTCTGTCCTCAAAAAGTACAACGCGAGACTTTCGTATTGCATTATTGGTGCGACTCATAGATGTCGCCACGAGGTTGCCTCTGCTAAAGCACCAAAAGGCTAGCGACAGCGAGCACATAAATCAACAACTGCGCCTCCGCGGACCGCCAAAAGCTCTAAAACAGTCAAATGAAATGAAGGGATTACGGATGGTATTCATTGAAACAATACTCCCGGATGCCTGTTGAAACTCCTTGCGGATGAGGGGCATCGGTTGGGTGCGGTTCCTCCGAATTTTCTGGGCAGCACTCGTCGGTCTCTATCTCCCAGTTTCGTTTGTCTGCCAACTCGGGGCACATTTCGACAATCACCCCTCACCTTCCACTTCTTAATCACATAGGCCACTGTCGATTTTGGGTACTTCAGATAGCTAGATATGTCCCTTAAGGTTCGGCCACATTTGTTATACCCGATAATTATACCTTTCTCGAAATCAGAGACATACCAATTAACCGTAACGGTAGAGGGATGGTGCCCACGTCCTCCGTCACTCACTCACTCGAAATCAGAGAGCTCCGAATTGCGAGGCATCTTGCATGCGACTAAAGCGGACGCTGTTTCCTACACGATATATACCAGCTGAGTCCGTGACCTACCTTAGGACCGCAGATATCGTCATTTGCATAGGGTGTCCAAATACTTATTGGTAGTCAGTGTATCAGCTCAGTCGAGTGGAGAAATATATCTACGATTTTTATGATATTTTATATTTTTAGAGCTTTAAAATGCTGAAATAATTTTTAAAGTGTGTAATCTAAAGTTTTCAGATTGAAAGTTTATTATTATTACTGATAAACCCAGACTTTGATCATTTTCCAAACATTATATATAGATAGATAGGTAGATCAGTTATGAGATTTCAAGATTAATTATTATCATTTGCGCTTTTTCGTTCATTTTGCATTACAAAACATTTTGTACTGTTTAAGCTAGTAAAAATTCATGTTTCTTTTGTTGCACATTGGAAACTAATAATCGTCAAAAAGGCCTAATATACTAATATATATATATATATTATATATAATATATATATAATAAAGTGTTTCTAACTCGTAACTACGTAGTATATAAAGAAAAAAAATTTCAGACTTCTGGGACATGAAAAACAGCATTATCGAGATACATGCCATTTAGAAAAAAAAAGAGTTAAAATTATATAATTTGTAAAATTTTTCATCAATATATATATATGTTCCATATAGTAATACAGAAATTATTAAACTACATGTAATACAGAGAGCGAGATCTCAATGCTTTAACTATTATCATTTGCTCTTTTTCGTTCATTTTGCATTACAAAAAATTTTGAATAAATTTTGAAATTCACCCTCTCTACTAAAACGTTTTGAATTATTTTGTTGCATTTGGTGTGTATATAGTATATACTATATATATATATAGAGAGAGAGAGAGAGAATTTACAATTTTCATATAAAATTAAAAGAAAGTATAAATAAAGCACGACAAATTAAGAAGAAAATACGAAAAAATTTCACACTTGATTAGAATGGAAATCAAAAACATCAGAAATAATTATGCATTCATAAATATTTCTCCATTTTAAAAAAGAATTACTGAAAGCAAAACTTTTATAAATTAAAAGTTAATACTTAATCTTCGGGCCAATTTTGCATGCAAGTGTAATTTTTGTTAATTACTTTAATAATTTAATAACGTTATGAAAGTGTGGAGTAACTTATAAAATAAATTCTGTTGATAGAATCTGTTTGGAATCTATTTCAAACATCTGTTGTTAAAATCTGTTTGGTTGTTGATAATGTTTGACTTCTTATTAGTAGTATTTAGTTTCTGTTTCGGCTTATTTATTCTGATACTGAAGTTACTGAAGTAACAATATCCATCGGAATTTGGGGATCTTTTACTTCAATAGCTGCAATATACGTCGTTTATGAAGACACCGCTGACGGACCAGTGCGTCTGAAAAAAGGAATTTGAATGCGAGTTTAGAATTCTATGGTCAAATGGCGCAGTGTCAATTCGATGATAAAACTCTAAACATTCTGACAAAAGAATTGCAACTGGGAATTCTGTGGTGTCTTTTATTTTATTTTTTAAAATTTTTATTTACTGAACTGGAATTTTTGTACTTGCAAGATTTAAAAATTTAAAGTACTATAAGGTATTTCTCCTGCCTTCCTAGCGTGTCTTCGTGGTGTAGTGGTCAGCACACTGAGCCGGTATTTCAGAGGTCCGTGGTTCGATTCCCGGCGAAGGCGGTTGCTATTTTTTCATCTTGTCTGCTTTCAAAAAATCCTAATGGCTCTACAGTGGCGCCCGAACTAAAAATGGGTGTTGGATGATGACTCTCCTCACACAGGATTTGGCGATTGGGTCCGCTAAAAACCCCAGTCGCACTTTAAAAGGGGGAGTATATAAGGTATTCCTCCCGCCTTCCTAGCGTGCCTTCGTGGTGTAGTGGTTCTGCACGCTGGGGCGGTATTCCAGAGGTCCGTGGGTTCGATTCCCGGCGAAGGCGATTGCTAATTTTTCATTTTTTCGGCTTTTTACAATTAACCTAACGTCCCTACAGCACAAATGAAGTGTTTTAGTGAGATGTTCATCATATTTTTACTAATATATATGCATGGCAGGAGCTCCTCTCAAGATCTGGGCCTCTGCAACTGAGGGTGTTCTAAACCGACCTAATAGGCTATGCATTCACTCCCATTCTTTTAGAGAGGTTAATCTGAGCCCTTGAAGTTTCAAAAAGAGGGCTGGAAGGCTTCAAATCGGAGTCCGAAGACTTAGCCATGTTGAATACGTTTGAGTTGCGAATATGCCAGCTAGTTCAATCAAAGACTATTGAGGTAAAGATATGTGTATTTATAGGGTATACTCAAAAACGGGTGAAGTTTTAAAAGTTAATAGTAAAGTTATTTCTCATATTGCTAGGGTAAACCCCGTATCGTAAGCAGCATCAGCTGTCGAAATTATTCATACATTACTAGAGCACTAGTAACTCCTGCTGCGACCAGTCTTGAAAACTGAACTTGCAGCTCCTCAGCAAGAAATGCTGACCGCGGAGTCCAGTCTTCAAGTTGCAAGTTCAATTTTTAAGTTCAATTTTTAAGATTGGTGACAGCAGGAGAAGGCTTTCTATGTATTCTGTTTTGGGTTACAGTGCAGCGTAAATTTCAAGTACGCTTTAGAAAAGACGCAGTAACCTGATTTTTCCAAAGCTAATGCTTTTTATGCAGCGTTCCATCAGAAAATATGATTTGCTTTTCTGAAACAATTTTCACTGGCGATTCATTTCTAGACATGTACGAAAATCAGTTTTGCTCCAAATGAATGCCAATTATGGCAATTGCATTCTATAAATGGATCGAGCTCCCCTCGTTCTCAGGAATAGGCAGATATTTCTCATTTATTTTCTTCCACAACACTAGATCTTACGTGCTGCTGATGGAGGAAATGGCCTTCTCTCTTGACCTGCGCTGTTCGCCTCGTCTTACATCATGCGATGCCCACATCCATCCATCCAGGAACTTTGTGATCAGATAATGCATGCACTGCAGCCATTACAGCGGATATGATGCAGGAAGTTCGGGATGAATTTGATTAACACGTGAATTCATGTCGTGTGATCCAGGATGCTCACATTAAAGGTTACTAATCAGCGTATAAAAAATTAAGACAGTTGTCACTGCTAATAGTTATAGCTTACGCCTTCGTAACTTGAAAAGAATATGTTTTATTATCTTTGAAACTGCCTTTTCGGTATGCTCCGTATATGTCACTTCAAGTCACTCTTCGACCCTGAAAGAGTCAATTAGCTCGGGAATTTCTACATAAAGGAAATTCTAGAGCCATAAATCGCTAAAAACTTTACTTGGATATGTAGGACCTTATCTATATATTTCTAATTGGTTACATACCGTTTACTGGAAATATGCAGATCGATACGACCATTTGTTTAGCCTAATCGTTCAGCTTAGCAATTTAGAACTTTGAAAATTGGGATTCACAGACGCTCATTGAAAATTTCATATTCTCTAAAAATAAATGTATGCTAGGACTAAACTTATTTAATTTAGGTAAAGTACACGAGGCTTGATTATCTAAGCTCTGTTCCATTTCAGACTATAGCACATCAAAGGTGGAATTCGAGAATATCGTAGCCCTCCTTCCTTATCATCAACTACTTAAGAGGAATTTCTTCAGACTATAGCTTCTCCCAATCTACAAATACATTTCAGTTACAGGATGGGATAGAAACTCAGTTACAAGGGCATATGCAGCTCGATTCTGGTGATCACTATACCGAAATGGCAAAAATATATTAAGCATTATTATTGAAAATGAATCATCAGTGGAGAGAATTTCCCCCAGTTTTGACTCCGCTTGCGATGCAGATGATACTATTTTATGTGTTTTTTGTTTGAACTAGAAAAACGTGTTCGCATTGATAGTCATGTTTACAGACAATTTTTTTACAGGCTTCAGCAAGAAATAATTTTATTTATTCTTATTCTAGTGGTTGATGCGAACTGCCTTATTATAATTTCGAGATGACTTTGTCTCGTTAATATTAGGAACAGTGTTCTAGTGGCTACTGTAAGCGCAGATGCTAGGTGCCTTATGAAGCCCTCCATGAAACCCGATTTTCGTGGCGAAGAATTGCTTATCTGGGTCTTTAAATGCGGATGTGTTCTTGGGAAATTTTAACCTTTCCATCTGCTGGCATTTGAGTGTTAAGAAATCACATCCATATTTTTGAAATGAAGCTTAATGGAAAAGTTAAATGTTTGGAGGCATCCTATTGCGACTGCACAACCTCCAATCTACCAGCCACTCATCACCGCTGACAATAGTCTGCACTACATGATGTCTGTGATATATATTTAACAAAATGAATGTTTAAATGTTTATCGTGCCACACAATTATTTACCGCTAGAATATATGCGCGATTCGCCCCAAACCACAATCTTGAAAACTGGCTTTAGTGGACACTCAACCTGAAAATTTATGTTTTCTCTCTCCAGATAAAAGTGTATTACATCGCTCACAATCTCCTATATTTGCAGATTCTGTATGCGTAAACAGAGGCGAAAGTACATGCTTCCAACGTAAGTGATTTCAAATCATCATACACCTTTACTTTCATAGAAATTTTAATTAGTTACTTAAGTTTCACAGTGCCATTTCTCAAGTCGTTTTAATTTTGAACACCTTGTATCCTGTTAACATCGACCAGTCTTGTTAATTATTTAACTATTTAACACTATTTTTTGATTTCTTCTGTTTAATAGTGTATGTATAGACAGAAATTACAGGCTATAAGGATGTATACATAGACAGAAACCACAACGCCATAAAACCTGTAAATTCTCTACATTAGCTATAGCTACAAATTAAAAATACAACAGGTCTTAGTATTTCAAGCTAAGAATTTGACTTAATTAGTTATTATAGTATTTCAATTTAATAGACCTTTGGATTTCAATTTGTTAAGAATACGTCTTAAATTTCAATTCTTTTTTTTAAAAAAAAGAAAACCAGCAAAATGTAATAATAAATCACAGATGATAATAAAGCATACATATGCGTGAAAGACAAGCAAAAGGATTATGATAAATGAACTAAACACGCGTATGAAGTTAAGTCATAAGATTTAATTTTAATTAACTAAGTCACCTTACTATTTTGGCTTTTCTATAACTTCTACTTTCGTTAACTTCCAGCAGAATATAAATAATTATTTCAAAGCATAAATAAAGCTTCTAGTATTAAAGTTTGTCAGAGAGTGTTTAGCAACGTACGCCGGCCGTAACTCTACTGCAGATTTTCTGCTGTTGCAAATCAACTTGCAAAGGTTTTGTCTGCGAGTTACTTCGCGAGCGATTAGTTAGGCGAAGCTAAGGTTTAGTCTAACTTTGTTAATATTGTATCCTATATTCGATTTATCTTATGTTAAAAGGTATTTGTCTTCTTGAAGGCTAGCGGAATTTTTTCCTGTTAAAACTTCAGTTTGTGTAACCATTTAGTGAACTTGTTAATAAAATGTCTTTTAGATTTTAACTTGTGATTCTTCTAATTGTCAGACAACGAAAAGGTTGTCCGGCAGTGTTCTATACCTTACGTAGAAGTTAAGCGGTGGTTTGAAGACTGTATCATACATTCAGAGCATTTCGAAAGAACAAATGTTTATGCAATTTTACTTTGTTACATGATATAAATAGAAAATCACCACAGATCACTTTATGGTTACCATGTAAAGTAGAAACTGATTCTTCATTACAAACGCGTTAATTACTAACAAAGAACTCTCACTCAGATTCTTTAGTTCGATGTTGGTTGGGTGAAAACTTACAACTTTTTATGGAAGAGAGGAAAATCTTCATATATTTTTTTTCAATGATAAACCCGGCAAAAGAATTATTTGAAGCAACAGTTCGTTCGAAACAGACGAATGTGCAACAGCATTTTAAGATTAACATCATATATTATAATCATATACTTCCTACAAAATCTTTTAAAATATTAAACTAACCACATAAATTATTGTGATATTTGTAATAATATATGGAAATTAAGTAAAACTGAAAGGAAAGGAAATTTAGACTTGTTAAAGCAAAGATTTAGTTTTATTTCTAACTACTAAATCATTTGAAATGAATTTGTTTATTTGATAAATATACTTTACTAATAGTTATTGCAAGAGGTTTAAATATTGAAATATTTTATTTTATTCATATTTAGTTTAAATTTGTTTCAAATAATTTAATTTCTGTATACATTACCTTGACACAGTGACTGTGGAAATCAGACACAACTATTTGATTCCTGCTATTAACTGCTGCATAATGAGGACCTGTGAATCGGCCTGGTTCTGAAGGCCTGCTGCCAAATTTGTACAGAACCTTTCCATTTTCTTGAAATACTAGAACATTGTTACCTACGGTAGAAATACAGAAATTTAAAGTTTTATTTATAACATTTAAAACATGGAATTTTTTAAGAAATTAATACATCGTTGATCCTACGTTTTATAAAAAAATAATATCTTGTGATTAATTTCCATATATAGTTCTATGCCATGTCTAGTGACAACTTAATAATACTGTAATAAGTCGGATACATGTACGCATTACGTCGTAGGAAGCTTTATGCAAATTATGTAAAAAGTTGTCGAAAAAATAAACGAATGTATATTAGTAACATTAAAGTACAATTATAAGAATAAATTGCAGAAAACTGAGAGGTTTTGTTACAAATGTAATATAAAATTTCTTTAAGAAATAAAGCTGATTTTAATTGTATTTGTTTTGCTATGCTAACTGAAAGTCACTTAAAAGACAATAACACAATTCTAAATATTGCTTCCCCAACTTGAAAAATATGTGATGAGGCATACAATGATTTTCAAAATCAATTGCTCGCACAACTTATCATTTTGAGTCCGTAATTTCATCACCATGCTATATAGCTTCGGTAATTCAGTTTTATTTTTCAGACTCATTAATCATAAAAACTTCTGTTATGTTTTTACGTTTAGAAATGACAGAAAAAGCATATTCCTCAAACAAACAACATCCAGCACACAACATAAATAAACAACATACAGCAGCAAAACTTATATAATGTTTTATTTCATTCCACTGATATGGCAACTTACCAGCGTTTAAGCATACAGCCAACATCTGCCTATATACTTTTGATTAGCTTAATTTTGTAAATAATTCTTACTTCACTACTTTTAATGCCTAAATATATGTACTAATTTCATCTTTACATCTATACCTGCAACTACATCTTGCTCTTATTGTATTTGCATGCTCAGCATTTACTGTAATAGTGAAAAGTATATAAAGCAGGTATTACATTAACAGAATAATTTAACGTTGCAAATTTGCAAAGTTTATGGTAATTTAGCATCTGCAACACCTTTTAAAAATTTAATTGCATAACTAATAGTATAGCTAATAATTTACTTGAACAGCAAAAGTTAATTGTAATAATCTGCATTACACCTGTGCGCATGCTATACCAAACAATGCCACTGCGTGCAGCATGACTGTTTCATCAGTCAATGCTACCTTGCAGGGAACTTTTTTCAGTATTTTTCACTTTGATTTGCAATTTCAAGTCTCAAAGAGCATAGCCCTAAGCTGTACTTTGTTTATTGCTTCGACGGGACCCAACAATCTCATAAACGCATTACTCAGTGAGCCAGCTGTTCTGTCGACGGCAGAAGGAAAAAAAAAAAAAAAAAAAGCGTCTTACCACAATAAACTGTAATCTTACAAATAGCAAACTGCGAAATCTCGGGTGAAAGGTGGGATGGCAGCTCCGACAGACAATTATAAACAGCTTCCTAAGTCATAACATAAAATGTGATTGCAAATAGGTATCAATGCCGTTCATAACCAGTAATCACTGGTTTCATGGACGGGGCGTAAATGCATGACTGACATACACATAATCTTAGCATTCAAAGTAGCACATTTGTTAACAGTGGAAAAGTAACTGAAGAATCTGCAATATACAAACAATAATGTGAATAGTATCAGTATAGACATACAATGTTTCAGTATTAAATATAAAGCTTTTGACAGTAGAAATGGCAGGTGTTAGACAGGTATATGTGCTTATAAAATGGATTACATAAACATGATTGAAACGGTTTTCATGTATAAAACATATAGTTATTTACATTCACGTGACTTAAATGTCGGAAACGATGCTTTGATACGCACAGAATGCGTTGTGTGCTGGTAACGTAATATTTGACTTTGCACACATAACAGGTGTACACATACATAAGCTAGGCCTCAGAAGAAATTTTGCTGACAAACATTTTAAAAAGGAAACGTGTTATATAAAAAAGCGACCTATTTCGTGCACAGCCTGCATCCCCACGTTTCGGAATTGAGAAGAGAAATCGAATAGACATATTTTGAAAAATGAGTAGATGACATAATCTGAGTGACGCCATGTTATAAAGACTGTTTTCTTCTTCCTTACCGTCTGCCTTCGTGGTGCAGTTTGAAACATGTCCGGCTAGCAGTCTGGAGTTCGAATCCCAATTACATTGCTCATATTTTCATGCCTGCTGCTCCGATCAAAGCCTGGTTTTTGAAGTGGGATGGAAGATAACAGGTCACCTCAAAAGGAGCTAGTGACATTCAAAGGTAACTCTAAATTTCTGTCATTTCGACAGTTGCCGCACGTAGAATAAGTATTAAATTGAAGCAACTTTGTAGCGAAGAGGCCAGTAATTGGAATGTCAAAGAGCACATCTTTCCAGTATGGCGCTATTCTGTGCCTGAGAAGTACGATGTCAGTCCCACGCCAACCATTGCACATCAACACACTTCCAACCTTAGCGGTGAAAAGGAGAACAGTATCTATGCAAACTTTCTTTAATGACGCATACATACCCGTCAGCTGTATGCAGGAAGATTAGTGATTTGCGACCCACTGGTATTTTTCCTCAGAAACGCCCGCTTAACCTAGCTCAAGATCACCTCAACTGTATTTCACAGCAATGGGGTACTGCGCTCTTTACGGATAGTCTGATTTGGTCTCCGGATTCTCTATGGTTACTGATCTCGTTGTTCGTACCAATGTAAAGTCGAGTGATCAATTCAGACTTCTCTACACTGATAACGTAATTCAGTCCCCAGTAATCTTGCAGATAGCACAAGTTTGTCTTTTCAGAAGTTTTAATTCAAACTTAATAGTTTAACTGGCAAATTAAACATCTCGGGAAAATAATACCTTTTGATGCTTATACGTGCAGAGAAGTCTCAGCGTAATTAGATCAAGAATATTTCTCTATTCTCATCTGCTCTTCTTGTAAACTCTCAAAAAAGAATAAACGGACAAATAAAATAAATCAAAATATAAAAAATAAAATATGATAAATAAGTTAATAAATAAAAAATTGGAAGGATTTCGGATTTTAGCTTTGCATCATTTTAACATTGCATTTTAATGTGCAGCATTGTTTTCAGGGTTTTAATGCTCTCTTTGAGCTCGCAGTTTATCATGTGCTCTTGAACTCATTCTTTGCTGTCACAATATTTTTGTTCAATACATTTTTTTTTCATTCTTTCCTCAGTTCCTCACATCAATATTCAGTTTTCTTAAAGTAAGATGACTTACACATCTTTTTCGTTTTTGCATTTTCATTTTTAACTTTTTGTCTTTTTTAACTGTATTTATTAAACAGCATTATCTACATTATCCACATAAAATTCAGCAGCAAATTCACAAAAATTTTAAAAACAGCATATCTTTAGAATTCGCATTACAGTATTAATTATTACCATAGATTTTTTTACATTTGCAAGATTAATGCATGGCGATAACATCTGGCAGCAACATCTGCTGTTTGAAAAGTGATTTGAGCGCAAATGTTGTACTGATGCAAAAGTCGGAATCGCGATTAATAGTACCCTGGTGCTAAAAGAAAACGTAGACGATCGAAATCTTCCACCCCAGAAAAACTTCCTTTTCCAGTCACTGGCCTGGATTATGAGGAAGTGCCCTCTCCTATCGGGACTTCACCGTGACTTTTGTAAAAGTAGAAGGCCATGACACTCGTCAAGCAGCTCAAGGATGAGTCATCTTTCTGTCCATCGTTTTTCGAACATGGACCAAGTTTTGCAGCTAACCACAAGGTGTGAATAGGCGCTCTTGTTCATGTTAATTTTGTCAGTATAAGACAGCAATGCCTGCTTATTGCTGTGTACCAAAGTGTATTATGTTAGAACAGAGAATACATCTGTGTATATAAATTTCCAAAGGATGACTCAAAAATCAGTTGTGGTGCTGAAAGTTTCTTCGAGCGAATGTTGCTCCATGAAAAGTCCATCCTTGAACGAAACAGTTCGGACCAAAGGGCCAGTGGGTCTATCCCTGCCGAATTCGGAGTTACTTTTAGAATGCTGAAGCTATCATTTCTTGAGTGAATGATGCGTTAAAGTTAGTCTTCTAACAGGTGTTCGTTACGTAGGAGCAGTCGAAGCGGGAAAAGATAATGGCAAAAAGTCAAGCCGTGGATGAACTTCAGGGACACGGTCAGAAAATGAGAGAAATAGCTGATGTCATCACTGTAGCAAAGAACTCTAGTCATGCGCATCAAGATGAGAAATCATGGGTGGAGCAGGCGTCACGTGGTGGCAGGCAGAATTCAATTGGAGGCTGTTGAAATTTGAGTTAAGGCTGGTTGGCTAAGGGCTATCACATGCAAGCAGGAGAAGTGTAAATGAAAATTACGTAAAAAAAGTACGAGAGAATTTTTAAGTAAACATAAATTTTGAATAACTGCAGTAAGTAGCTTAAATTAAGAAAAACGGTGATAATTAAAAAGGGAGGTTAGAAAAATGTGAAGTTAAGTACGAGGTAAAGTTAAATTTGATTCCGAGAAATCACTAAGGCAAAAGAAAAGTTAAAATTATTTTTAACTTGTAATGTAATGGACGTAATTCCAAATACGTGAAAGGTGGAGGAGTAACATTTCACAGGGGAGCTGTTTCTAATGTTTTAAAACCTATTTTTTATAAAATGTAGAGGTTTTTTTATCTACTCTACTTGCCGTTTTCTAATAAAAATAATTTTCTAATTTTATATAATATATGCATACTTGAAATAACATTTAAATAAAAGTATCTTTATATATATGTATGTTTTTAATAACTGTGTTCTGAAAAAAAAATGTTAAAATTTTAGTAATATCATATAATTTTAATTAGTTTAGTATTCTGCTTTGACGACATTTTTTATACGCCAACAGACTTTGTTTTAAATGCGTTTGTTTATATTCTTTGTATGCGTTTGCTTATGCGGACATGTACGAAGTAGTAATGTATGTATTTAATACTTGGTAATGTCGATATAATACACTGTGTAAGAACCTCATAATATTATGATTTTTTTTAACATGAATGACCTTTTTTTATCCTCTTTTCTTGCATGCAAATATAACAAATATGTTTACTTTCAATCACGTATTTTTTTCCTTATATCATGTTTCTGGCATTTATTTTAATATTAAGAAGAATTTGTTAAGTATTAAGAAAATAGTCATTATATAGCAGTTAAATTTCAAAACTTTAATAGTTTTAAGTTTCTTTTTAAAAATAACGAACATTATTTAAATTTTACCTTCTTATTAAATTACCTTAAAAAATCTTACCTTAAAATTATTTTTATGCATTTTACTGTGTTATAAAGAAGTTATATGTATTATGATTTAGATGTTATTTTTTGAAAGTGCAAGTTTTTTTAGTTATTAGTATATTATATACGCATTGCGGTTGAAATAAAATTCCTTAAACTTATAGTTAACTTGGAGTTAATTACAATAAAAAGTTTCTTGTTGTATAAATTTATATTTTACGATATAATTCGTCAAGAATCGTTCTGCTTTGAATCTATCACTGAAATTTTGTATTTTTAATTTCAGATTATTATTAATTTAGTTTGTTCTCTCCAGTTTTTTTTTATTTTATTTTTAATTTTGTAGACGCCGAGGGACATTATATTACAAAATGTTATTCTATAGCATGAAAATTATCCTGTTAAATTTTAAAATAAAGTGTCCAATTTTAGGAATATTATTAATTTTGGCTGGTGTTTATCGATTTAACTTCTGAAAATTCAACGGCAGCTTCTGCGAAATGATATCTTTCGAAGTTCGCATTTCGAACTGAGAGAAAAGAAGGAAAAAAAATCGCCAGCCTTGGCGATAGTACACCAAAGTCTGGGTTCAGTTCCATTTCATGCCCAAACTCCTGTAGTTCATTCCTGTGCCGCTTTTTCATCCGGTTCTGAATGGCGATGCTCGGTCTAGTACTATATAACAGGTCTATGGATTAGGCAGAAATATCCCATATCGCCATAGGATAATCTTGTCGGACATGTGTTTCCCCAAACGGTCATCACTTTACATATCGATAGGCCACTACAAAGGACATCTTTTGCCATCAAGAATCTTATCATTTTACCACTACTATTTAATTATTTATATATAATTTTCTTTTGATTTCCCCCATGCTAGTGGTTTTTGTTATATCCCATGATCTGTGAAAGTTTCAATGAATTCGCATAAATACATTTTTCTTTTTTTAAATCGACAGCTTTCACTTTGCTGTTCAGCTTCTGGACAATCAGAGTGTACAGCAATGAATATGAATATTGCGAGAGGTACTGTTCTTAGTTTACATCTTCAGAACAGAAATAAATAACTGATTTACATGTGGGTAAAACTGTCAAACAAATTTCAGAAACATTTCTTAATCAGAGTACTAGGACAAATGTGAGAATTCGATTATAACAAACAGTCGATTTTTGAGTATTGCCCATATTAATTTGTTGGCTTTTAACGTTGATTCCCAATTATGGCGTTATAAATGATGCAGAGGTGAAAATAAGAATAAAAAATCAATATGCAGTTAACAATGTTTTGTACTTTATCATAAAAATCCTGTGATGAAAATTTATTACAAATAGTTTGCATATAAATCTTTGAAAGATGGCACAGGGCATTACTTAACATAATTTCATTTACAAATAATCAATACATATAAAAATGACCCTGTAGTAAAAGTAGGACACTGAATGCCAAGCATTATATAGAATAAGTAATAAAGGAAAAATAAATTCTGATTAATTTAGCATTCCTCTAGCATTCTTCGCGAAGCTCGATCCATTCTTATAGAAATGAAATAAAAGAATTAAGCATGCTGAAAAATTTGCTCATATAAAAAAAGGAAAAAATGGCCCCTTTGAGTTAGAAGAAATAATTGTTTTATATAGCTTAGTGATATTAAATAGCTTGTATTGTTTTAAATAGCTTAGCCCAAAAGTATGCATAGGCACTTTTCTGTGTCTACCCATACTTTTGGGTTCTATCTTCGAGCAAAACAAAATTTTTATAATCTTCTTCTAAAAAAAAAAAAAAAAAAAAAAAAAAAAAAAAGAAAAGAAAAGAAAGAACCTTTGAGATAATATTCCGTGTCCTCCATTAGGGATAAACGTGAGTCGCATCGTCTCTTATCCAAAATATAAAAGCGAGAATTTAAAATAAAAACTTAGGAGTTTAGCAAGCACCTTTGAATATTCTAGAATCTAAATCTATTCTGAGCAGAATGAAAAGGCATTCTGTAAATGCTCTTCGAAATAACAGAACTTTACAAATTTAGACTTACCTTTATTGTCAACTACGATAATATGGCCATTTCTATCTACTGCTACTCCTTTTGGGCCTAACAGCTTCCCAATTCCAATTCTGGAGATGTATTTTCCGAATGGGTCATAAATGCTGACCCATTTATTCTCGTAGTCCGCAACGACATAATTACCATTTGGAAGGACGGTTACACCCGTTGGTCGCTGCATTTGGCCTGGAGATCTACCCCTGGCTCCGAAACGAAGTCGGAATTCTCCAGTTCCAGAATTAAACACTTGTACACATTGGTTATTACTATCGGCAACTACTATTCTCCCGTCTCTTGTGCAGCATACTCCCTGTGGATTTGTGAATTCTCCTCGGCCACGTCCTGAAAATAATTGACAAACATTTAGTTGAAAGGCAGCGAAAACATACTGTCGAGCTGCTTTATTTTTGATTTTAAATGATTTGAAAATTCTTTAAATTCAAAAAGAATTTTTAAGCCTGCATTTGCAAATATATTCATCAGTACATTTATATAAGGGGCGCTCTATAACGGAATACATTATTAGCACGTTTTCTTTTAATCATGTGTGGTGCCCATATAGTATTTCCTCTTTTTAAAAGTATCTGTACATTGTAAGATTCATTTTCTTACACCCTCATTTTCACTGGCAGCCCTATTACTGTCAAAGAATCAGATTTCTGTTACGTGTTAAGTTCCTGATTTACGTGTGAGAAGAGCAGAGATAATGTGAAGAAACACTTTTCTATTGCAAATAACTTTCAACTTCATTATCGCGTTAATAAGAATTAAGTTCATTAATTAACTTCGTTTTAACAAGTATTGCAGCAATAAATGCATGAAGATTTAGTAAATTAAGCCCAGATGTTTGAAAAGTTCAGAATCTGGTATTAAGTTTGCTAAGAACTGAGTATTATAAGATTGCTGTTTGATTCTAATCTTTTTTAAAATAGCGTGACTATAAATTTGGATTTATGAACTAAGAAAATCTTGAAAGGGAAGTGAATATACTTACTACTTCGTGATGACATCATCTATTTTATCTTTACGAATTTTAGTAATAGTTGTACGGAAACGTTACAAGCTAATACACACACAGTCGTGATTCAGGATAATTTTTTAGATTGTTAGCGGTGCTGAATTCTATTTTGTGGTCAGATTTAATAGCGCAAGAGCACAAGTGGATTTGTCACAGCACCTTATTTCTTTGACATGAGGGTCTTTCTTGTGTTTTTAATGGTATAACTCAATTTTGAAGTCAGATCTATGCTCAGAAGGCCTTTTGTTGGGATCTTTTGCTTACAATGAAACAATGACACAAAAGCGAAATATTTAACTTGTCTAAATGCTGTTTATTGTTCAATAATGTTCATAAATATATACACGATTTAATGTCTCTTATTTTTACTTCATTAAAATCAAAAATAATTAGTAAACATATAGATTTAATTTAAGTCTATTTCGTATGATTTAACCCATCAACGGGCCCGCCTCTCGGAACGAAATGCTTCGAAAACGGTTGCGTTTCAACAACAAACCAAAAAATCGCTTTGTCGTTTTCTGAAATCTCTCTAAATGGCCCAGCCTAAGGGCAGTATGTTGCTTCCCCAATGTGATGGATAAGCCATAAAATTGCCCCGCTATTGAATGCCAGAAGTAGTTGTTCTTTTGTTTCCTCCCCCTCTTCTTGTATAGTAGCCTGTAGACTTTTTCTTTTAACATGTGACTGCCGAATTTTCCGAATCCTTTTTAGATTTAGCTTCCAACTGTGACATCAATTATTCGACATGTTTTACGGGCAGTATTTTAGAAAGATCATTATTTATTTTGTACACAATTTTTTTGCTATTTACTTATCTATTTCATTTAGTGTTAGTAAACATTTATTTTGGAATTAAATTTTATCCATTCTTTTACCCGACTCAGTTTTCATCACATTCTAAGTCATACATTTACGATGAGAGTACAATATTTATCAAAAATTTTTGAAATTCGCATATGCATTTATATTTGGTTGAATTTTTTCCACATTGTTCGTTACTGTCGAGCTCATCTTCGTCTTTTCAGGTGTGAATTGGCAAGCATAATCTCCTAATATTTTTCGGAATTTTATAGCAATTTCTAGAATTTTGGCGTTTCTACAATATTTTGGTAATTTTAGCTATATAAGTTGCCTCGATGTAGAATTAAGCCAATGTATTCCCGTTTATTTGAGAATGCATTTCGAATTTAAACGGAAGTTTAATTTTTGATACATCTTACCACCGACAGAAGAATTATTTCTCTGTGTTGGATGGTTTCTCACTTTTTCTGCATTGTAATTAAATGCAAAGGAGACTCACAATAAATTTAAATAAATTTATAAATAATTTCTATTTTCATTTAAATTGTCATTATTAGCACCTCCCGCAGTTTTATGCAATCATAGGATTTTCCGAATTTATTAGGTCGTTACATATTTCAAGGCCTAATAGAAAGTGGTAATGGAAGACTATGTCTTGAGTCCAATCCAAGATTTAGTAATTAAATAACTAATATTGAATACCACCGCTTTTTTATTTATTTTAGTCATATAACAAAAGATAAACAAGAATACATTACATCTACTAATTATTTAGAAATATTTTGCTAATGTTTTTATGAATGGAGGAAACACGGTAAAAATGTTTTAATGATTGAATTCACCGTTAAAAATCAAACAAACCCCAAAATTCCTTTTCCCATAACTCGTAAAATGTTTTGATTAAATATGATTTGATGAGTTTTCCAATTCTGTTTTGATGATATAAATTTGTAAATTATAGATATAAATATATTAGTAATAATTTTGTATTATAACTTAAGCAGAATATCGTTTATCGTTAAAAATTATATCTAACGAATTAAATTGAAAAAACGAAAAATATAATTAACAACTGTCCTTCTCCTCTATGCATCTATTTATAAAAAGGAATCTGGCTAAGGAATTCACGACTTGTATATGAGCTAAAAATTGGTATCTTATTGACAAAACTTGTCAGAGCATAAAAAGCGTATATTTTGTGATATTAGTGTATTAATCATACTTCTGTATACATAAATGCAGCTTATAATTACCAGCATAAGTAACATAATGAATTTTATTAAAACGACGAAAACTGAATGCATGATTCTAGCATTATCAAATTACGGCTCTTTATCCCGTTAAATATTGCTTTTGTCGTAACCAACACGAGTTTTATTTTTG